CCTGCCTTGGCCTCCCAAAGTGCTGGGATTACAGGTGTGAGCCACTGCTCCCAGCCCACATGAATTTTGCAGGACACCTTCAAACCATGGCAAACAGGGACTTGGCAAATTGACAAATTTTATGCATTTTTCGATATCAAAAAACACAAACTCGATGGAGCTTTAGGAGCCTTTTCTAATCCATGCTGCACTACATACCAATCAGACTTGGCATTCAAGATATATCGTTTTGCCATTCCAGCTACATGTTCTTAAATATACCAAAAAATAAAAAATGATTAGAAAGTAATACGGAAAAATGTTCACAGCAATAGTCTCTCTGGATGGTGGGACTTTTATCCTGAACTTTCCTAACTTTGAGCAGCATGTATTCGTTTATAATTAGTAAAAAAATATATATCTTTAAAAGAAAGGCATATTCCTATCTTACTGGGAAGCAGTGTGGTAGTAGTGATTAACCAATATTCATAATGTGTTATCCCTTGGGTCCTGGGGGCCTAAAATAAGTAAATATGATCTAATGAATACTTTAAAATCTTAAATAAAATTATTATAAAATTTCAAAATTTTATAATAGGAGATAGCAGAATTTGTCATCACTTTCTGAGGAACAGTGTTAGGTATCTGTGAAGTCCACAGAGCAATCTTTTTTTTTTTTTCTTTCAGACAGGGTCTCACTCTGTCACCAAGGCTGGAGTGCAGTGGCATGATCATAGCTCACTGCAGCCTTGGACTCCTGGGTTCAGGTGATCCTCCCACCTCAGCCTCCTGAGTAGCTAGGACTACAGGCACACACCACCATGCCTAGCTAATTTTTTTAAAACTTTTTTGTGGAGACAGGGTCTCACTATGTTGCCCAGGCTGCTCTAGAGCTCTTGGCCTAAAGCAGTCTTCCTGCCTCAGCCTCCCAAAGCGCTGGGATTATAGGCATGGGCCATCACACCCAAACCACAGAGCAATCTTCTTTCTCAACATTGCTATCACAACTACTGAACACGGCCATCAGGGTAGGCTATACTGGGCTGAAGCAATGCAGAATATGCCACATGTCACTCTGGCATAAGGACTGTTTTGTGCTAAAGGCAACTGAGAATCAACAAATTCAGGAAGAGTTTTGTTCTCGACATCTGCCTAAAAGCAGGCCATAAATTTTTCTGTAATGAAAGTGTCACACACACACACACACACACACACACACACACACACACACAAATTCCCCCTAACCCCTCAACCAGACCAGGGAGAGAAGAGCCACTCTTATCTTCAGGACCCGGAGTTGACGCCAAGATGAGTTTGCATAAACAGGTCTTACTCAAGTAGCCCTTATCTTCCATTAGTTCCCCCAGATGTTTCCCAGTCTTTTCCCCACAAATGATCATCCTTTAAACCCAAATCCTCTTTCCATTGTTAAAAGGGTATATGAGTCCCTGAGTCTAATCTCTTCTTTGAGTTTCACCTCTTTTCTCTGAACTCGTGTACACATAAATACTAATGCAAATTGGGTATTTTCTCCTGTCAATCTGTCTTTTGTCGGTTTAATTCACATACCTCCAGTTACAGAAATTAAGAAGATAGAGGCAAAGTTTTTTTCTCCCTGACATCTCTTGATTTTTAAAAATTATTAAATAATCTTCTTTACATAAAAATGTTTTAAGAACTAAAAATTTATTAATATTGTTTTTATTGCTTTTATTTGTCAAGAATTGTATAAAATTTACTAGGTTTTTATGTATTCCTTTTCTCCCTCAACTAGAAGCCAAGCTTGAGGGAAAGACTATGTCCTAATATAATGAGTGTTCAAATTCCCTAAAATAGATCTTTTGAGGAATGGGGAAAAATAAAATAAAATAAAATAAAATAGTCCTTCACATAGTGAAGGTAATCAATAAGCAGGTTTTAGATCTCTCTGTTATAAAACATTTTTTAGCAACAAAAAAAATGCATTGTTGGTTGCTTTACATAAATGTCTCTAACAACTTCTTTGTGCTTAGCTACTAATCCGCATATTTATAGCTCATTTTATTCTATGCCATATCTCCATGTTTACAAATCATCCTTTGGTTTTTATAGCCTATTTTATAGTTGCCTTTAAAATTTTGGTCTTTTATAAAAGTCATCCTATATTCTAAAAACCAAAATGACTTACGTTTGAGTTACAAACGTGTTTTAATTTATGAAAAGTCTTTCTTGCATCTTATATTTCCATATCATATTTACTCAAGCTTGGATTTGAGTAGATTCTTATGATTTCTTTTTTAGCAGAATTTTGCAGCTATTAAAATTAAAAAGCAAACTTTCAGTTTGAAATTAAACATTGATCTTATGGAATGTATTTAATAGTAATCAAATATCTGTAAGCAAATGTTCCTCATAATTAAAGTATGCCGTTCTAAATCTTATCTGTTCTTGGGCAATCTCACCACATATGAAAAAGATTACCTTTTGTTGTGTCTTCACACTCCTGGATAATTGGATTAGTTGAAGGGTACATACATGTGAAGTAGTCCTACATTTTCTATCACTACACTGAATTGAAAGACTCTTTCATGTTTCATGTAAATATCAGAACCAAGTAAGATGGAATTTTTTTATCACCTCCTTTGTCGTTTCTTTCCTTACTTTCCTTCCTTTCTCCACCCCCACCAGTCTATCCCCAGTCATCTCTTCTTTCAAACTATCTTCAGATTAAGAGTCAATCATATAACTTTCCTGCATCCAAGGTTTTAATGGTTCTTCCATTGCCTGAATAAAGCCTAATGTCGATACTAAAAGGAGACGCATGGTGAAGGATAGAGTATTGACTACTGTCTGGTTTGTCAAGGTGACATTTCCCTTGTTGAAGTCATCATTTTTGTGGTAGGTCTTCATTTGAATTATGTTTGTCAATTTGCTAAGAGCACAGGCTCTCATTAAAGTAACAGAAGACTGATATGTAAACAACAATACTGCTACGGTCTGAATAGTTGTGTCTCTCAAAATTCTTGTGTTGAAACCTAACCCTCAAGGTGATGTTATTAAGAGGAAGGGCCTTTTAGGAGTGACTAAGTCAGGAGGGCAGAGCCCTCATGGATGGAATTAATGCCCTTATGTAAAAAAAGGCCTCAGGAAATTCCGTCCCTTCTACCATGTAAGGATGCAGCACAAAGATACCATCCCTGAGAAAACTGGCCTTCATCACACACACAGCCTGCCACTGCCTTGATCTCAGACTTCCCAGGCTCTAGAACTGTGAGAAATAAATTTCATCATTTATAAGCCACCCAGTTTTAAGGCGTTTTGTTATACCAGCCTGAACAGACTAAGACAAACACCAATGTATTTAGCTACAATAAGAAATGTGGCCAGGCACAGTGGTTCATGCCTGAAATACCAGCACTTTGAGAGGTAAAGGTGGGATGACCGCTTGAGCCCAGTTCGAGGAGGCCAGCCTGGGTAACATGGCAAGACCCTGTCAAAGGGAAGGGAAGGGGAGAGAGAGGAGGGGAGGGGAGGAGGAGAGGAAAGGAGGGGAGGAGAGGAAAGGAGGGGAGGAGGGAGGGGGAGGAGGGGAGGGGAGGGGAGGAGGAGAGGGGAGGGGAGGAGGGGAGGGGAGGGGAGGAGGGAGGGGAGGAAAGGAGTGGAAAGGGGAGGGGAGGGAAGGGGCGGGGGAGGGGAGGGAGGGCGGAAGTGGGAGGGAGGGGAGGGGAAGGGGGAGGGGAGGGGAGGGGAGGAAGGGGAGGGGGAGGGAAGGAGGGGGAGGGAGGGAGGGGAGGGAGGAGGGCGGGAGGGGAGGGGAGGGAAGGGGAGGGAGGGGAAGGAGGGAGGGAGGGGAAGGGAGGAGGGGAAGGGGAGGGGAGGGGAAAGGAAGAATTTTTGTTGTTGGGGAAAAACTCAGCAAAATAAAAATTCCTGTTTTCATTGACAACATTGTTTTATATATACATCAAACAGGCCAATAATAATAATAATAATAATAATAATAAACAGCAACTTCATAGATAAAAAAGGGAAAAGAAAACCTTATCTTGGCTTTAACCATCTCATACAAACTAACCACTTGTGGTACAGCTAAGTACATACACAAAAAAGTTACTGAATGCTCGTAGCATATGAGTTCTAAATTTCTTTTCAAATAATTGCTATGCTGCAAGTTCAATTCTTTTGGCCTTCTACTTCCTCATAAAGCAACCTTTTCGATTACCTACTCCACCCTAACTCCATTCCAATTACCTACTCCACCCTGACTCATTGTGGATCGTACCTGCTGCACCTCACTCATTCTGGTTACTCACCTGCTCTGCTCCTGATTCCCACAAGCACTCTACCCCATCATTCTCTTTAAATTAGCCAGTCGGAATCAGTTTAGCCTGTGCGGTCTAACCCCAGCCAATAGGGGAAGGACACAGCAACAGGGGCTATGCCTCGTAAGAACTCCCTTCCCCTTCCTTGTTCAAGTGTGCAGGCATCATTGTTCCTTCTGTATGGGCGCACCCTTCTATATAGAAATAACTTGCCTTGCTGAGAATTAAAAAGAAAATTTTGTATTTGAGTGCTATTCCTTTTGTGGCACCGAAACTTTATATATAATACTTGGAATAAGATTTGTTTTCCGCTTGTCGTTTTGCTTTTTTACAAGTTTTTTTTTCTGTCTCTCTCCTTTGAGATCATAAAATGAACTCTTGGTCACACCACAAGTCAAGTCAGAATAGGACAGAGAACGCTCTGAAGGCTGATTGGTCATTCGAGATCATTAAAAATGGCTGACCTTAACCATCTGTACAAAATATAAAATGTAAATAAAAATACGAATACCCCCTTTTAAAGCACATTTAAGAAAAAAAGCAGGGCCTCTTTGAAGTTTTGGGTTTTACTCCTCTGTTGTAAATTCTCATGGTTTGGGTTGGGTGGTGAGAGCGGTGTTGTTCATGGTGGCACTGCCCGCGGTGGTGGTGGGCGTGGGGGCCTCTCTGCTCGAAGGTGACCACGCTTTAGATTCTGAGACGGCAAGGAGGGTGAATAGGTCATGGCGTTTTTTTTTTTTTTTTTTTTTGGTAGTTTAACTTTTCCTTTTCTGCTGTCTGGTCATCCCCGTGGGTCTTCTGCTTCTTGGTATCGACGTCGTCATCCTCATCATCCTCAGCTGCCCGCTGGCCCGTGGCCGACTCGGCTTCCTCGTCTTCATCTCCATCCTCTTCCTCAGCGTCACCTTCTTCCTCCTCCTCTTCCTCCCCACCTTCTTCCTCTTGTTCATCTACCTCATTGTCAGCCTCCTGCTCCCCGTTTTCCTCCTTAGCATTCCCGACAGCAGCGGCGTCTCTTCCATTTTCCGCCTGTTCCACAACTTCCTTCTCCTGTAAGTCCGTGGTGGTGATTTTGGAGCCGGTGTCTACGGCTGCCTCTGACACGGGGGTGGGGGGACGAGAGTGATCCGATGGAGAGGATTAAGAAGAAAGCCAGAGTTCAGGGACTCTGGCGATAAAGCTGCCCAGCCGGACAAGGAACAATGCAAAGACGGCTTTTCAGAGCAGCCGGTGGGGAAAAGAAGGAATTTAACTGGCAAAAGAACTAGCTATTCTGACCACCTCAATTCTGAATTCTTTTTGTTTGTTTGTTTGTTTTTTGTTTGTTTTGTTTTGTTTTTTGATACAGAGTCTCCCTCTGTCACCCAGGCTGTAGTGCAGTGGCACCATCTCAGCTCACTGCAACCTCCATCTCCTGGGTTCAAGTGATTATCCTACCTCAAACTCCCGAATAGCTGGGATGACAGGTGCCCACCACCACCAGCTAATTTTTGTATTTTTACCAGAGATGGGGTTTCTCCATGTTGTCCAGGCTGGTCTCAAATTCTTGACCTCAGGTGATCCGCCCGCCTTGGCCTCCCAAAGTGCTGGGATTACAGGGGTGACTCACAGCGCCCAGTCCAATTCTGAATCCTTAGAAATGTGTGAAAAGCTGGATTATAACTGAAATTATGTGTGCTTAGAATCAGGGCAAGAAGCAATGTGTTTTAAGTGCATGATGGCATTAGGCTTGATATTTCAGCAACAGATTTATACTGCATGTTGAGTCTTTAAACAGAGTGTCCAAAATATTCTTTTTTGAAAATAAATGTTTGAGACAGGATTTCACTTTGTCACCCAGGCAAGAGTGCAGTGGCGCAATCACAGCTCACTGTAGCCTCCACCTCCCAGGCTCAAGCCATCCTTCCACTTCAGCCTCCCAGGGTGCTGGAACTACAGTCACACACCGCTACGCCCAGCTAATTTTTGTATTTTTTGTAGAGACGAGGTTTTGCCACGTTGCCCAGGCTGGTCTCAAACACCTGAGCTCAAACAATTCTCCTGCCTCAGCGTCCCAAAGTGCTGGGATTTCAGGTGTGAACCACCCCGCCCAGCCTTTGTTTGAAAATTATTAAGAATTTTGACATTGACAGAAGAACATCAAAACAAGTGCAGGGACCTTCTGAGCTCATGGCCCTGTGTGACTGGCCACACATTCATAAAGCCAGCCTAAATATAAAACCATCCTCTAGTGCAAACTACCACCTACCATCTAAACCCAGCTTGCCCTCTGTTTCTGTAAATAAAGTTTTATTGGAGTGCAGCCATGCTCATTGGTTTCATCTGTGGCTGTTTTTGTTCTACAGGAGGAGAGTTTTCCATACATGCAACAGAGATTGTAAGGCCCACAAAGGCTAAAATATTTACTATCTGGCCCTTTATAAAAGTTTGTTGCCTCCTGCTATAGGGTGTAATCTGTCAGTTCTTGCCCCACACTTGCTATTCTAAATGAGCACTCAGCCATCTACAACATGTTTCACTCTTCTCCTTGGAAACCATGTAGAGTCCACCTGGAGTCTATAGCTACAAATCAGAAGAATTTGGACACTGCTGACCTGCTCACAGACTGAAATGCCAAGAATTTCTGTGGCAGTGTAAGGACAGCAGTAACTATGAATTCTCCAGGGGAAGCCTGCAAAGCTATATGATCTCTTCTACCCGAATCTCTTGTGTACCTGAGGTTTCTCACCGCGCTACCACAAAACAATATACAGCTGCCAACTCCCAGTCAGCAACTTGCCTGGAGTCTTACGTTCCCCTCATAAAGGATAGGGCTCAAGAATTGCTCTTCTTGACTGGCTATTAATAAAATCTCTAAAATCCTCTAGCACCATGTCTGGCATATCTGCCTCCCACGTAAATTCCCCTGGACCGGGTGCCCATGTGCTATGGTCTGAATGTCTGTCCCCTCCAAAACGCATGTTGAAATTTAATTACCGTTACAACAATATCAAGAGGTGGGATCTTATTTTTAGTTTTTTAATTTTAATTTTAATTTTTTTTAGACACAGGGTCTCACTATGTCATCCTGGCTAGAGCGCAGTAGCACAATCATGGTTGACTGCAGCCTCAACATAAGCTCAAGAGATCCTCCTGCCTCAGCCTCCTGAAGAAGTAGGACCTTTAAGAAGTGATTAGGCCATGAAGGTTCTGCCTTCCTGAATGGATTAATGCCGTTATCTCAAGAATGGGCTTGTTATGGCAGGAGTGTGCTCATTATAAAAGGGCAAGTTCAGTCTACTTTCTTCCCCCTCTTCCCCTCTTTCCTTCTGCCTTATGATGACGAAGCAAGAAGGCCCTCACCAGATGCCTGCCCCTTGATGTTGAACTTTCCAGCCTCCAAAACTGGGAGCCAAAAAATTTCTGTGTATTACAAGTTGCCCAGTCTCAGATATTCTGTTATCACAGCACAAAAGACTATGTAACTTTAATACCTGGGCTAGGTCCTATTAGAACTTTAAGGATCTAATAGCTTACCCTGAAGGCTGGCTATCTAGTCAGCCTGCTATAGTTTCATGGATGCTGGTAGAAGACATGAGACATCTGGGTCAGAAATAAAGGATTGTTTATTACTCACAACAATAGCAATAGCCAAAGTAACAGCATTTCGGCACCAGTTCCCCAAGCCCCAGTTTCCACAGGGTGACACAAGGGACAGTTGATGTCTGCACAGGCAGTGAGTTCTGTTACAGGAAAAGCATCCTGAGCTTGGAAAAATAATCCTATTATAATGGGCTGTGGCACACTTCCCCTTAGCCCTAGAAGGAAAGATGATTTTACAACACTGGATAGTAAGCAAACTTGCTCTTTTGCTATGAAGGGAGATGCTATCTCTATCCTTCAAGACAGTTTGCTATATAAATGTCCTCTAAAGATAGATTAGAATAAAAGGCAGTCAGTGCCCTGGTTGCAACATGGGCAGAAATGCAAGAAATTCTTGGAGAATTGTCTCTCAACAGCCTCCATATGGACTTGGTCCTTTATGGTGACTCTTCCCTCTCACTCCTATAGCTATAAATGAGCCCCTTTTTTTCTGTGAGCAAGCTGGATTTTTGCTAGTGATCTTCTCCCAGGTTTGCTTCCTTCTTTTCTAGTTTGCAGATTTATACTGGGCACTTTAGAGAAATATACCCTACCCATCGTATTGCCCCAAACCAACATACAAATAAATGGTCTCTCATGTTTTGTGACTTTTCAAGTAGAATTTTATCAATTGTTTTTGTCTCTATATAGCCATACAACTTAGGTATCATAATATGTTTAAAGCACTTAGCCATTTCTTCCCCCCAACCATTCACCATGTTCTTCCCAAATTCTTAAAGCTGTGTGTGTATAATGCTACAAAAAATATGATATTAAACTCAAGTGCCAGGGTATTCCAGCCATCATACATAAATGTTAGAGATTATTACTGGAATCATGTTTAGAATGTACCATGTAAGGAGTCTATTGTGCAAACGAGAGACTAAACAGGAGTGGATAAAACGGAAAAGGAAGAGGAATCAAGAACTCAGTCCAAACAAAAACATCATCCAGAGGAAACAGGATAAGCCTGCCCAGACACAGGAAACTATAATGAGGAAGGAAAAGCAATTCTCAGAACAGATGGGCGGAAACTGAGCAACTAACAGAGGTGGATCCATGTTTATTTGAGAAAGTGTATTCTGAGGTTTGGGGGTTGAACAGAATCTGTGCTTATTCCCCACAGCTCCTGGATCTATAATGATGCTATATGTGGATACTGAACTGGCGCATGCATGAGGTCCTGTAACGATCAAGCTATTTCTTAAACCTCTAATTCTCTGTCACTTGTAACTTCCTGTCTTTTGAAAAATATATGTGTGTTTTTATTTGAATGGATACTGACTTGATTAATTCATTTCCTAAATATTTGAATTTCTAGAGAACTGTGAAAGTTTATGGAGATGATTGAAAAGGATATTGAAACGAGGTCTATCCCAGAAAATATAGGACAGATGGTTATGGGGCATTAAAAAAGAGAACTGTTAAGCCTACAATCCAGCATCTTATTGTCTGCTGTATCTTTTAAAAGCTTGCAGAGTAAGGCGTATGTTATTGTTTCATCTCTTTTGATACAACTGAATTCCTTCAAACACATACAATTAAAAAATAATCCACTCTCAAGTAAATTGTATGTCTATGTGAATAAAAATGCAATCCCTTGTAGATGAGTTTTATGTTTCCCAGCTGCCTATGAGATTATGATGTATCATAAATTGTATACTCTGTACTCTGCATTCCTTTGCAGCTACAAATGAAAAGATTTAGGCATGTTTTTATTTCTTATTGAAGTAAAGCCTTCACTAATTATTCATCAGCTATAAAGACTTTATAATTGTTCAATATTTTGAAGCATTTGCACACATAAACTAACCCTCATTTTAATAGTTTATTCATCTAACTGCTTTAATAGAGTACCTCTTTTTTTCATACTCTAAATTAAACATCAAATGCAATCTTTTCCAAACAACTAGAATCACTGATTTTGAGAGCTGAAAAATATTTCATTTTCTCAAGGTAAATAAAAAAACTGAGTCTCAGTGGTTGCCTAAGAATCACATTCCCACAAGATCTGCCCAGCTAGAAGTGCATTAAAACCACTTTTTCAGACCCTTAAGGGTCCGTGCTCTTTCTATAACATGCAGATTTTTCTCTTCATGATTCTCGTAGGGAATTGATTCTAAATTTATTCAATTTAGTAGTGCTCAGACAGATGTTTGTATATCTCTTATAACATGACCAGTGGGCATTGCTTTTTTTTTATTCTTTAGTTATCTAGGATTTTATTCTGTATTACTATTCCAGATGAATATTTTAAATCCTTAATTTATTCTTGTAATAAAAGATAGGCTTTCCTTTGGGGGCAAGTCCATTTCTCAAGCTAAACTATGGAAAGCTGGAGCTCCAAACCGAACACAAATTAAAATTTAAATTTAACCATGTTGTGATGCCAATGAACCACTGATGGTTTTTGAAATCTTCACAAAGGCTGGTAGAAAAACTTCACAGTGAATGAATTTTATTACTTCTGACTATAATGTCCCTACCTACAGTGCTTCTGT